AATTAGAGCTAAGTACTTCTGCTTACATTATGCAGCTCTGACTGCTCAAGTAACCTACTTGATTTCCCTTGGGTTGTGCAGTAGCTTCTCACATGAGTATAAGTTTGGAACCTTCTTGCTGGTTCTTTGTATGAACATGTAGGCTGTCATGCAGACAGAGGCGAGCAGCTCTGCTACTGTCCTTACCTGCTCAGGGACCAGGACACTCCAGGAAGCACAAGAATTCAGACAGAACAAGCCAGTATTACTGAGATGAGAATCCTGTCTGTTACCGTGCAGTCCACACATTGTTCCCTGCATTGTGCTCAATATCAGTTTGTGGTGATGCTGCATTTCTGCCTTTCTACCTTAAATCTTTAGTAATATTTTAGAATTGCTTCTCAGGGAAGAGCTTTTAATGAAAAAGCTGATGTTCCTAACTCTTGTTAGAGAAAATATTTTGGGTCATCTGGGAGGGATCTGAAATCATGATATCAAGAGAAGACTTTGGCATATTTTACATGGTGTATTCTCAAAATAAGCATAGTGGGTATGATCACTGTCAGAGGGCACAAGCCAATTGGCTAAGGAATTATTAGTATAAATCGTAATAGTTGCTCTTACATTCCCAAAAGGTAATGATAAATGGTGAAAACTGAAGTCTCCTCTGTCGTATGCAGGATGTTTGTTGGTGTCAAACCTTATTCAGTCTGAAGAGAAAGACTAGGATTTTTCTTAACTAGTGGCCATCCTGACCTGCTGGGTTTTGTGCTGTTTGTGTTCCCTTCCTAGACCTTTTGTTGGCTGGTGGTCCACTTGTATTTTAAATGAGTGTTGTGGTATAGCTAACAGCTGTGCCTTTCAGACATTATTTTTTTTCTTTACCTATGATGGGGAAAAATGCAGCAGGCGCTGCTAAAGCTCCTTTTGAATAGGTCTGTCTGGTAAAATGAAAAATGCCCATGAAATAATAAGGCAGTACAGCAATGCTGCTTTCTGACCATCAAAAAGGTCTGCACACATTTTTCCATGTGGAATGCATACAGAGCAGGAAACAATTCATGGTATGGCAATGCACTTATTTTCATTGTGCTCAGTATTTAAAGCAAATGAGAAGAGAAGGAAATGGAATCTAAACAAAAGAGAATGACAGGCCTATGCTGGTAATTTTTCTATTAAAGTTTCATAGTGTTCATCATTAAGAAGGGGAGAATTTTGAGTGAATTTACCAGCAACAATTTTCTAGCAGTGCTTCTTAGTCTTGGTATAGTTATGAATATTTCATGCTTGGCTGTTTTTTACTATTAAAATCTATATTGAAAAATTTATCCTCAGACTTACAGTTTGCTCCAACTGGAAATATAGTATTCTTAGCCTTCTGAAAATCGATTTCATATTCTGTGAAAGAAAGAAAAAGGAAGCTTATAGGACAAGCCTCATTTCAGCTTCTTAATTACAAATTCTTCTGCACAGAGGATTTTGTGTTTCTTTTGAGGCTGGTTAAGTTGTTTTTTAAATGAAAATTGGCTTGTGGTTTGGGCTCATTCCAGCACTTAAACAGGTCCTTACCTTTAATCATGAGTAGTCAGCTAAGTTCCTTAGATACTTTAGTAAAACACGTGCTAGAGTATTTTGAAAAATTGAGTCTCTAAAGATAAAGCTTTAAAGACTAGATTATTACCTTTATTTTTGTAATGACTAATGGACACACAGGGTTTGCTCTGGCAACTGCATTGGTAAGAGCAGGCCCTGTGCCAATTAAGTCCCATTGGTGAAATGTCCAATATTGGAGATGGGCTTATCTTAAACACATGGGAATTAGCCTAGCTTCCATTTAAATCACTGGCAAAACTCCAGCTGTTTTCAGCACCAGAAGGGCTGAGACAACAGGCATACAAACCCCTGATTCTAGACCTGATCCCTGCTTTTCTTAGGCAGCCAAAGCTCATGCTGAGTCCTGTGGTCACTTTAGCAGGATTAAGACTGAGCGGATTGTTTGGGTAGGTTTATATTTCTATTCATTCTAAGAAGTACTGATACAGTTCTCAGTGATGTGCCATTAATAAATATTCATTTGCAGAATAAAAACAAAAGACACCTGTTGACAAGGTAAACTGTGGTCGTTCCAAGCAAATTGCTGAAGTGTAATAGTGTCATGTATGGTAACGGGTTAAATAGCTCTGTTATCTGTAACTTTGTTCCAGCAGAGCACTTGGGCCTGTGTTTACCTGGCTACTCCACTGAAGTGGAGCGCATGTTTGGGTGGAAAAGGGCCTAAATGACTTGTGCTCTGCTGCGTCATGTCTGTGTTTTGTGTCTTCAGTCACCCCCTTGCAAACACAGCTCTGGGACCCGGCTGCATTTTTCAGGGGGGAACCCCCTGATTTCCAAGGCATCTCTATCACATGGCTATTTAATTGTCCTTAGAGATTCCTTAGAACCACAGGTGGTGATTTCTCACCAAAATAATGTCTAGAAAGATGTGTGATACCTGGGTGTAAACTCTGCAGGGCTGTCTGCGCCCCTGAGTATTATTGAAGGTGATAACGGCTATCCTAATGATATGGATGCCTGAGTAGCATTTTCTAGAATATTTGGTTTAAATTAAGATATATATATATATATGCATGTATGAATTCAGATACTTGCTGAGTTAGTCATGAACTTTTTCTAATATTTGCCCTGTGTTAAAGCAAAATCTAAACACTTTAATCAGAGACAAGATGTGCAGACAATGTACAGGGTCTAATTTAATTTGTAGAGGAAAAACTCTGACTCCAGCCTGAAAAAAAGACAGTGCAGCCTTAATTCATGCTTTTTAAAATAGTTGTAAATCATCTGAAATATGTGTGGTTTTCTTCATATGTTAAAATAACCAATATTGCATATATGGACATGGTGGTTCATTGATGCTGAAATTCCTTGACATTGTAGGTGCGTATCTATTTAATTCTGGGTCCTTAATGGTATTTTGAGACAAGGAGTGGGGACAGGAGATAACAGCAATCATGTCTGTATTAACAAAATGAGAACCAAATACATAAAATTATGTATGCTAAATTACTTAAGATCATAAAAAGGGGAGGAAAAGAAGATTAACACAAAGATGAGGCACTGAGATATCAGCCATGATGATCTCTAAAGGTCCCTTCCAACCTTAACAATTCCATGATTCTCTGCTGCTGCCCCAGGCTCTTCATATGACCCTTGAAAGCTGCAGACAGCAGCTCTGACCTGCAAGGCCAGAAGTTTTCTAAGGTGACTCTCCTTTTCTCTCTGCTTTTGAATGTAAAAACATGATTTGTTCTTTCAGTTTGTTTTCAGTGTAAACGATGAATGTTTTGCATCTGATTGGATTTTATTTCTCACACAAAGAATTAATGGCCTATTGTCTTAATAGGAACTAAGTTACTGCAAGTGAAATGTTCAAGTGCCATTCCTTTAAACTATCAGAACACAGCACAGGCAACTCATCCACAGCTTGGAGCTTGGTCTCCCATTGCTACCTATGGGAGTATATAATGGTTAAATTAGCTGCAGGTGGGCGTCCCTGTTGCTCTTGAGCACATTAGAGGCATCTTGAGAGCTCCAAGTAACCTTAAAGAAGTCAGACATAATGGCCTCAAACAATAGTAATTCTCGTAGTTTATAACATGCTCCAGATGCCGGAGAGGTACTGAGCAAATTAGGCTCCGTTTATGGGAGACTTCTTGGGTTTTGTTGCTCTGGAAAATGGTGTGTTTTGGGGAAGTGGAAAATACTCATGCGTGCTAAGGATAATTGAATGTTGTGGTGCAGCAAAGCAGTTGATACTGAAGCATGGCTGGGAGGGAAAATGACTGTGGAAAATCTTTCACAGTGGCACTGGCTACCCTCAAGGTGCTCCTGGCCCCAAAGGGAGTTAGTTGAAGTAACACCTTGCCATGGAGTCTGTGGACACAGGTGAGGTGGTGGGAGCTTCCCCAGAACTGGGAAATGTGGCGGTGCTCAGATTCAGTGTGCGGGAAGGCCACAGTGCCAAATGTGATTTGTGCTGCATGTCTCTGCCTGTTGGGTACTGACCTTCACAGCCAAGCCACTCTGCGTCATCGATGTTGCGGTTTGGTGCATGGTGCATCCATCTGACAGGTAGAGAAGGATGTTCCTCCATCTCGTCACGGTGAGCGCATGCTGGGGTGATGTCCTGGAGGCTGGTGGTCAGGATGGATGTGCTCCATGGTGGACAGACTGCACAAGCCAGGAGAGCCTGGCCATCAGGTCAGCATATGGGTGATGTTCCCAAAGGAACCCCATGGATGTTGCCCTGTGCAGCATGTCCAAAAGTAGGAACACTCCGGAATCAGCTAGCCTAGGGAATGTACAAATAGATGTGTACCCTCCAGGAGCTATTTTTTGGTGCTGCTTTGTGTATTCCAGACAGGTTCCCTGGCTTCTGTTTGGCCTCACTGAGGGCAGCAGTGACCTCTTAGTGTCCCCAGTGTCCCTCATGATGGGCCATGATGAAGGCACCATGGGCTGGGCCCACCTGGCGTGGGGAGCCCTGTCATGGCCTTGGTGTCGCAGTGCCAGGGGCCTGACACCTCCCACTCGCCCAGTGTGCCTGGTATGAAGTTGGCCCTGGTGGCATCAGCCCATGGAGGCCTCGGCTCCAGGCGGGCCAAGGGCCAGGCCCCCTGCTCATCATGGTGCCTGTCCTAGGGTCCCCCTGAGGGGAGCGGCGCCAGGGCGGCTCTAACAGTGACTCACGTCAGGGCTTTTCTCCCTTTTTTCCCCCCTTTTTTTGTTGCTGTTGAAGTCTAACGCCCGCCGAGGCCGCGGGCGGGCGGGCTG